AATGAGGTTACCAGGATGTCCTCCTAATCCCATAGCATTGATGGCCTTGTAAGCAGAAGAACTATCTCCCTCCCTCTCTCTCTCAGCCATGTAAGGACATAGCAAGAGGTCTGCCATCTGCATGCCAGGAAAGGCCCCTCACCAGAATCTGACCATGCTGGCATCCTGATCTTGGATTTGCAGCTTCCAGTGTTATAAGAATATAAATTTCTGTTGTTAGGCAACCTGGTCTGTGGTATTTTATTATGGCAGTCCAAGCTTTCTCACATACCAAATTTGGGGAGTTTTTAAGTCTACATGAGCTCTGACATTTCCTCACCTGCACTCCATGACATTGGAGACAGCTCACATAACTACACCTGGTCCCCAAACCTGCTGCTTCACTAACAAAAGGCCTCAATTCTGTGTATGTCATCTGGGGAATGGAGATATTCCCTGTCCTCATTTACTTCTCAGGGTTCTTTGGGGCATCAGAATATGACCACGAACATAAAACAGATGGTCAAAGCTAAAGGAAGCCCAGCTTTCATTTTATTCTGCTCTTTCCTCTTCCAGTCAAGTAAACCAAAGTCCATAAGTGCCAGGACTGCATTAAATAGTGATAGAGTCAGCACTCAAATGCAGAGCATCTGACTTCCAATCCAGTGCTCTCTCCAAGGCACCAAAAGAAAGGAAGAGCCACTGGAGAAACTGGCATGTGACCAGGCGTGGTGGCTCACGCCTGTAATCCCAGCACTTTGGGAGGCCAAGGAGGCAGATCGTGAGGTAAGGAGTTCGTGACCAGCCTGACCAATATGGTGAAACCCTGTCTCTACTAAAGCTACAAAAATTAGCTGGGCATGGTGGCAGGGACCTGTAATCCCAGCTACTTGGGAGGCTGAAATAGGAGAATCGCTTGAACCCAGGAGGCGGAGGTTGCAGTCAGCCAAGATTGTGCCACTGCACTCCAGTCTGGGTGACAGAGTGAGACTCCCGTCTCAAAAAAAAAAAAAAAAGAGAGAAAGTGACATATGACTAGTTTGTTTGCGGTAGCTAAAGAAAGATCATCTATGTCCTAACTCACCCTCCCTACATTAAGTAACGCATAGTATATATCCACATATCTAAGACATTTGACCCATCCTGTTTGGTATCTTTCTCCCTGCCCTCTCCCTGTGCAGGATATCATTGATATCGCTTCGGTTAGTTCTGCTAAATCTCTTTCATTCCTTTTCAGTAGCTGCATAGTCTTTCATCAGAATTATTATAAACCATGTCATGGTTTATTTATTCCATTTTTCTGATGGTAGACATTCAAGTTATTCCTGCATTTCACTAATATAAGCTTTGCACTAATATAAACATCTCTGTGAGGCACATCTTGCACATACATCTTGGCATACTCAGCCTCAAAATTAAACTCCTAGTAGAAAGATCCTCCAGTCAAAAGACATATACATTAGACATTTCCATGGTCATTATTGAAATCGCCCTTAAGATCGTTTTGCCTTGTTCTTCATCCAAGAATATATGAGACAAGGGCCCCTATTTCCTCCTATCCTTGACAGTTCTAGGCTTTGCTAATGTGTCAGTGGGAAGGAAATAATATCACTGTGGTCTTTTTTCTTTGATCATTTGTGAGACTAGGCTTCTTTTCATGTGTCTATTATCTATTTGCATTTCTTTGTTGGTGAAAATAGATTTGCCCATTTTCTGCTGGGAAAGTCTTTATCTTACTAATTTGCCAGAGATCTCCCTATAATACAGTTATTAAGTTTTTGACATGTATACTGTAACAGTTCTCTCCCTTTGTGTTTACTTTCCTACTCTGTTGATGGAGATTTTGCCGTACAGAAACAACTCATTTGTATGTAGTCGACTCTGTGCATTATTCTTTTATAGTTCCTGCCCCCGTGGAAAAGTTACTCAATGTCTCTGAATACTGGTTTACTTCCATACCAAATACAAATAATGATAGTGTCAGCTTCAGTGGCATTGAGATTGTTAAGCAATCTATAGGAAGTACATAGGCCTGGCGCGGTGGCTCACACCTGTAATCCCAACACTCTGGGAGGCCGAGGTGGGTGGATCACCTGAGGTCAGGAGTTTGAGACCAGCCTGGCCAACATGGCGAAATCCCATCTCTACTAAAAATACAAAAATTAGCCAGGCATGGTGGCGGGCGCCTCTAGTCCCAGTTACTTGGGAGGCTGAGGCAGGAGAATCACTTGAACCCGGGAGGCGGAGGTTGCAGTGAGCCGAGATCACACCACTGCAGTCCAGCCTGGGTGACAGAGTGAGACCTCGTCTCAAAAAAAAAAAAAAAAAAAAAAAAAAAGGAAGTACATAGTTCGTCCTAAACATGCAACAAATGTTAAATGTTGCTGTTACCTCATGTGCCTGAACTGAAAGAAAGCAGGAGAGTTCCCCCAAATAGTTATACCACCTCCAGGACACACCCTGCATTTTTGGCCTTCTGCTTGGGATTCCAAAGACTTCTGCAAGGGAGGAGCATATGTCCAATGGGTCATGTGGGGGCCCACAAGTAAAAGGAAGCAAATGGTGCCTGCAGCATTGCAATATTTCTGCCCCACAAGAACCTCAAAGAAGCACTGAATAGAGAAAGTCAGAGACAAAGGCCAATTTCATTGTGTTTTCACAGCAGCTCCTAAGGAGAATATCAAAAGGCAGATCAGCTGAAAAAGCAGCCCAGGTCTCTCTCCTTCTGGGCTGAAGGAAAGCAGGGGGCAGGCATGAAGTCCGTGTCTAGGGCAGGGGGTTGAGCCTCCCACAGAGACAAAGCTTGGGCCTGCTGTGATGTGCTGGCCGACGTGGCTTTCCTGATACGGATGCTATGTCCCTATGCTCTCTCTAGCAAGGAGACTGATGGTTCACTTGATGGCAGGCCTCACAGTGTCCATTTACAGGGGTGTGGGGGAGCCTAATATTTAAAGCGTGTAGACTGTGGTCTGAGATCTTGAGAGGCTGCGTAAACCCTGGGTGTCCCAGTTTCTGCATAGGTCAAATGGTTAAAATGTTCCCCCGGGCCCAGGGCATTGTGAAGATGACAGGAGACAACTGCATGTTCCATGAGTCCCCAGGGCCTAGTGCATGGCAGGGGCTCATAAATGCTGGCTACTTCCCTGCGACCCCTCCGCTCTCTCCTCAAATCCCCCTTCCTTTCCAGTCTTGTGCCTTGATCTCTGCTGGACCCTCCAGGAACTCCGAGGAGAGCTTCTCCCACCTTTTAACTCCCACAACACTCTCACCAGCTTGGCATTAGCTTTTCAGTAAGTCTGAGCATTTGTTTTTCTGACTCTCACGATTTATTTTATTTTATTTTATTTTTTTGAGACAGAGTCTCACTCTGTTGCCCAGGCTGGAGTGAAGTGGCATGATCTCAGCTCACTGCAACCTCCGTCTCCTGGGCTCAGGTGATCCTCCCACCTCAGCCTCCTGAGTAGCTGAGACTATGGGCACACGCCACCACACCTGGCTATTTTTTTAAATCTTTTGTAGAGATGGGATTTCATTGTGTTGCCCAGGCTGGTCTCAAACTCCTGGACTCAAATGATCCTCCTGCCTCAGTCTCCCAAAGTGCTGGGATTACAGGTAGGAGCCACCACACCCAGCCTTGAATCTCACATTTTAGATAAGTCGTTGGTCTCACATTGATTCCCCTTTCTTTCAATGGTGGCTGCCTAAGAGCCATGTCTGTGCTAAGGGGACTCATTCCTCAGCCATAGCAGAAAGACCTCAGCTTGGGTCAGGTGTCCCTCAGGATCAGTCTTCTGTGCTGGCGGGGGGACCATGGGACAATATGGCAGGTCTCTTGCACCCCTATCACTGGAAGCAGTGGTATCTAGCTGTGGTGGCCTGGGGTGACAATATGTCCACTGTACACAAGAGATAAACACAATGACCAAAAGCCACACCTAATATTTTATTAGCCACCAGACAATGACTGCTAGTATTTTATGTATAGTATTGCCCAACTTTTCCTCTTGCAACTTTGCCTACTAAAATAAATGGGATTATGAAATGTACGTATATTATACATATATATTCTGCTTTGAAGCCTACTTCCCCCAACCTCCACGTCACTTGGAAATGGAGGCACGCTAACTCAGGGCTTGGGGAGGATTCGAGTTTGGCTGTTGGAGGGTGAGGGTAAATTAGTGGTTTGAATCAGCTCACTTTCACCATCTTTCAGCTCCAGTCGCATCTCCTCCAGGCAGCCTTCCAGGTGGCCCTTTTCTCAGACCCTTTATGGATGCTGGACACCATGGCTTCAACATGGAGCCAAAGAGTAGGAGGCTAATCATGCAAGTGTCCATGCACAGCACTGCACACACGATTAAGGGCTTGGTAAATAACCAGTCCTTTACCCCTCCCTTCCTCTATCCCACCTTTTCCTCCCTCCCTGCCTCCCTCCCTCTCTCTTCTTCTCAGAGGAAGAGAACCAAAGGAGGGGCAGGCAGCCTCCATGGAAGCTACTGGGAGACCCCTTCTTGGCCTGCGGCTCCCCTCAGCTGTGCCCTTCTGGGTGCTTGCAGAGTCACGCTTCCCATGAGCTCCTGGCGCTGCTACCAGGAACTCCTTGCAGGGCCACAGGCAAGAGTTGGCAGGGTCTTTGTGTTGTCAGAGCCCTAAACACTTTCTCCTTTCTGCTTGTGCCCATCATTGAATTTTGTGCTGAAGAAGACTGGAGACTTGAGGTTGTGGGCCTTGGTTCCCTTGGCCGGCTCCCTTCCGGGTTGGCTTGGGCTCTCCCTGGGCCCCTTCACACCTCGTTTCCGGCCCAGGCCCTCGCCCATTGCAGACCCACCTAGGGGAAGGAGTAGGAGCTGAAGAGCAGGCAGTGAGATGATCAATGGAGAGGGTGGTCTGTTTGGGCAAATTTGGTGACAGAGGGATCCAGGGTGATAAAGAATCCTAGTCTGGGCTTCAGGGACTTGCATTTTAATTCTGACTCTGACCTCACTGTCCTGGTGACATTTGTGGAGTGCCTTCCCTCCGAGCTGTAGGCTTCCTTTCTCTGCAGAGAGGGGCAGGCCTATCTTGGGTTTTCTAACAGTCTGACAGTCTGACACCATGTCCCATCCTTTTACTTTTGTAGGCCACATGGAATCTGCCAGAAGTCTCCCTGTGGAAAAGGACTCCCAGGGAAAGGGCCTAAGGGCTTCTCAGGCAGCCCTGCTTCTTTTTCTCTTGGTTGTCATGATTTTGCTGTCCTGTGGTAAGTCCCGGGCTCCCCATTGCTAGATTCTGTGGAGAAGCACTTTAGCCAAGGCATCAATGGAACTGCTTGAGTCCTGACTGTGGCTGCTTTCTATCAAGGTATGAATCTCCCTGGGCCTCAGTTTTCTTACCTATACAATAATGGTAATAATAATACCTATGAAAATAATGGTATTGAGTGCACTGGATTCTTTTGAGGATTAAATACAATAAAGTAGGTCAAGTCCTAATGCAGTGCCTTGTACATGGTCAACCCATGATGAACGCTCTTATCATCATCATCATCATCATCGTCATCATCAATCATCATTGTCATTGTTGTTGTTATTTACCAGCTCCCCTCTGTCACTCCAAGGAAAGAGAGGCCCCAGGATTTGAGTAGGCAGCGATGCAAATGGCCAGCTATTCCTGGTTTAAGCCCTCTCAGTGCACACCTAAAGAGAGAACTCCTAACAAAAAATCCAGCTTCAATGCACAAGTCCTGCAGCAGGCATTGTGTCAGGGACCCCAGGGGATCACCAGCGTACACACTTATGGGCTGCTGTAAGGATTAAAAAGGTCCCACCTACACAGCACTTGACCCAGGAACTGCCCACAGCCCTCAGTGAATTGCAGCCCATAGTACTGTTGTTACTGCCTCTAGCATTGGTCACATCTGAGACCATCCTGAAGCATGATGAGGTGCAGGGTCAGACAAACCTAGGTATGGACTGGATGTGGACTTCACGCGAATCTCTCAACCACTCGGACCCTCAGTTTTCTCATCTGTATAATGAGACTAGTACCCCCCCTCTTCGCAGGGTTGTTAGAATTAAATGATCAAGAGGTTTGCATGAACTATAAAGACTGGGATACGGTACTAATGGATTCCTTCCAAGACCCTATCCTCCCTTCCCAGACTCCCCTCTTTTCCTTGGGGGCTTTTGTCTGGGCTCCACACCAATGCAGAGGTGAAAAGAGTCTTGAGTCTTGATATGCATTCTTTCTCTGTCTCCTGTCCCAAATGCCTTCAGCTCCAGGCAGCAGTTGGCCCCCTGTTGAACGCACCAGGCAGCTGAGAGACAGGGAATCTCATAAAGAAGGCCCACGCTTCTGCACCACATTTTTTTTTTTAATTAAAAAGAAAATAAAACAAACAACACTTCCCAGGGTGTTCTGTGATGAAACATCACCGGCATAAAAAGTACTCACAAAAACAAGGAGAAATCCAGGAGATCACGCAGAGACCCCGTGTGAGGGTGGCCCGAGTCCCTCCCTTGAGGCCATTGTTTTCTCAGACAAACATCCACCTCTCCTGGGCTAAAAAAAAAAAAAAAAAAGCAGCGCTTATCCAGCCTTGTTTCTCTTGGAAGACTCAGCCATCTCCAGCTCACTGGCCCATGACATGCACACAGGAAACTGGGCTTTACAAGATTTTACAGATGGGCACTGCTGGGGTGGGAGGATTTAGGGGTACACACCACTTCTCTCACTGAGCCCTGGATCTGCTCAAGGTTTCTGGGGGGCTAGGGAGCAATGATGTCTCTCCATGGGGATGCATTGCACATGTTACATGCATTGTTCTGCAGGGCCACCAGGGCTGAGTCTCCTGCACTAAGGCCACTGGTGACTTCCTTCCTTGAGTGGTAGCAAAAGGAGTGTCTGCAGGGAAGTTGGGGCAAGCAGAATAAGGTCTTGGACCAGGACAAGATGTGCCGGGGCTGACACTAAATGTTGGTGGACAGAAAGCAGCGGAGAGATTTTGCTCTATTTGCCATAGCAAGATTTTCACACTGACCTTCCTTGGCTACTCAACCAGTTCTCTATCCCAGCCTCCAATCTCTGAGGATCACATAGAACTGGATTTGACTCTTAGCTCTGCCATTTACTAGTTTATATAACCCTGGAAATGTTACTTAACCTCCTTGAGCCTCAGTTTCCTCATCTGTTCAATGGGGAGGTTTGTGAACCTTACAGGGTGACTGTCAGTAGTAAGTGTGGCCAGTACAGAGCCTAGTACAGCACCTGCCACTGTTATTGCTGCTCTGCAGGTACCAGTATTTCCATTGCAAAGTTGGTGATTCTGTGTGTGGGCCTATGTGTGATAAACAGAAGCCTTAACCAGTGTTCTAGAAAGAGGGTGGATTCCTCGGAGGCTCCTGCTTATGTCTGGGCAGTTCCACAGTCATGGACCACCATGGGGCTGGCATGGAGGACCTCCACTGCTTTTCTTTCTGGCATGTCCATCTGGCTGAGGAGCTGTTCTGTACCTAGACCTCAGTGCCCTCCCTTGGGTAGAGGACACCATTGGTGTTGACACTGTTGTAGAAGTGAGGGCTGAACTGGCCGAGCACAGATCCTCCGTAGCCGAGCGTGTTGGTGGGCATGGAGTTTGCCCAGTCACCCCCACCGCCGTGGCTGCTGAGGTTGGTGAGCGGGGAGAAGGAGTTGAAGCTCAGTGAGTTCTGCCCCGTCTTGTCACTGGGCTCAGGGCTCAGTCCTGGTGTGGCCAAGGGGCGGCTCGTGGGGCTCCCCCCGCTCACATAGGCTGTCATAGAGGAGAGGAAGCTGTGAAGGCAAGGGGTGCCCGATGGGGGAGGGGAGGGCTGCTTCTCTGGGGAGCTGGTGGTGCCCCCTGGTGAGGCTCCATCCAAGATGTCCTGAGGCTCCGTGGTCTTGGGGCTGCCTGCCAGGAGACTGCTCTCTGTCTTCTCTAAGGCCAAGGTGGCTGTGCTGGAGGAAACATCTGATTTTCTCTTCCTTTTCCTGCGGAAATTTCCATTGTCGAACATCTTCTCACAGTTGGGGTCCAGGGTCCAGTAATTCCCTTTGCCTGATACAAAAGTGAAAGGGGGTAAGTAGAGAGGTGGACAAAACACTTTGCTTCTGTTCCTTCTTATTGTCATAAACTAAAAGACAAGGTGACAGATACAGGAAGACAGAGACCCAAAGGTAGGGACTGAGGAATGAAGGAATTCCATCAACTGATGGACCACACCACCTCCATCTTTCATTAAGCAGCCCATGACAGGGCCCTCTGGGACTGCAGCCGAGAGGCACAGGCATTAAGGAGTTTGCAATGTAGGTCTCTTTAAGAAGGATGAAGTACTGGGGGCAAGGATGCTGAGAGGCTGGGGGATGCAGGATGGAGGGCTTTCAATGCCGAAGGAAAAGAAGACTCAGGAAAAACTCTGGGACTCCCTAATAGTCCTAGGCTTGGAGTCTGAAGACAGACTTGAGTCCTGGCTTTGCTCCTCACTGACTGAGAGGCTTTGGGAGAACCTCAGTTTCCTAGTCTGAAAAGTGGGCCCGTTGCCCCTGTCTTCCATCAGGCTCACTGAGAACGATCGACACTGGATATGGAAAGGGGCTTTGCAGCTGGGAGGTACCATCTCGAGGGAAGTCCTGAACTCTTCCTGCTACCGTCTCTCAGCCTGAGGGTGACAGCAGTCCTTGCACAGAACACTTGCCCTCTTCTGGGGACAAACAGGCCTGGCGCTTGCCAACCTCAAATGGGGCAGAGTTGGGGTTCCTCTGAGCTATACCTTGGCTTCCTGCGGTGGAACAAAAATGGACTTTAATTCTGGGAAATGGATGCATGACTATTTAGTACACGCCTCTCTGCAGGTCTCTGAGTTTTAGAAATGCATCACTGGAAAGGAAAAGCTCACAATTTCTGATGTTAGAGAAAACTGAGTTTAAATTCAAGCTCCATCATATCACTTCATTCTGTGTCACCTCTGAGTGTTATTTTCCTAATCTGTAGAATGGGTTTAATAAGAGCTACCCTGCAGGGGTGTCATGGGGTTAAAGGAGGTTACATAAGTAGAAACAGGGCAGGCAGCAAAATGGGCCAATAGTGGCTGTTTAACCCAGGTCAGATCCTCTTCTCGGCAGTCTTGGGATGCCCTTGGGCTTTACTTGGTCCAGTCATTCATTCACCAAAGACTTTTTATGTGCTGGGTGCTGGAGATGCAGATGATCGTAATTCCTGCTGGCGATTAAGCGCTTGATAACACCAAAGACCTTGTGTACATTATCTCATCACCTCCACTGTAGCCTGCAAAGCAGATGCCATCACTATCCCTGGTTTTCTGATGAGGGAACTGAGGCTCTGAGGTCTAACCTGCTGGAGGTCACTGACTGGGCAGGACCACAGCCAGGACTGAAAACCCATTCTTCCCCCAGGCCCATGTTCTCCTCCACTGCTGAGCTCCCCTCTGCCCTGCCTGGTAGCATCCCCCAGTCTCTGGGGGGGCACAGCCCTTGTCAGAACTTTCTAGAATGGGGTCTTGGGAAGGAAGGAAGTGAGCCTTCCTTGGGGACACCCCCCACACTCAAAGCCTCCTTACCCGGGTCGTCATCATCCCGGGGCACCTTCTTGAAGCAGTCGTTGAGCGACAGGTTGTGGCGGATGGAGTTCTGCCAGCCGGCCTTGCTCTTGTTGTAGAAGGGGAAGTTGTCGGCCACGTACTGGTAGATCTGGCTGAGGGTGAGGCGCTTGTCGGGTGCCCCATGAATGGCCATGGCGATGAGAGCCGAGTAGGAGTAGGGGGGCCGCACCAGCTTCATCAGTTCCTCCTGCGAAGGGATGGGCAGCCAGCCCAGGTCGCTCCCCCCAAGCCCCGACACGCTGGGCAGCAGCGACCTCTGCACGCCATAGGCCTGGGGCAGGAAGGGGCTGGCGTTGGGGCCGGGCAGGTAGGGTGGCGGGGTCATGGTGGGCCCGTTGAACCAGAGGTAGGGGTTGGGGGTGGCCCCATACTCGCCGCCCCCCTCGAAGGAGGGCCGCTGAGGGCTGGGCACGCCCTGTGGGTGGAAGAAGTTCTCATAGTAGAGATTCATCTCGGGGGGCTCCTGGCCGATGCTGGGGAACTGGGGGCTGCAGCGAGGTGGGGAGGGCGCCGGCAGGTCGAAGGAGCTCATGCTGGGGCTGGGCTGGCCGGAGCCACCTACCTGGCACCTGCACCCAGGAGCTGCCCCCGACAGGTGCTCAGCAGGCCCGGCCTCCCACTTATACCCCGAGGGCTTGGCCGGCCGGCCCCACCCAGGGGCGGCCACCCGCCTGTGGATCCCAGGCCAGGGCCCGCCCTCCCTCAGCCTCCAGCCCACTGGGAGGGGACTTTCCCACTGGCGCCTTAGATCCCCACTAATGACATGCTAGACGGCTTACCAGAGCTGACATGCAGCGCAGCAAGGACGCCCCTCTATCCTCTCTCCCGGCTTTCCCTCCTGTCTTTTCTCACCGTCCTCCTGATTCCCCTCTTTTTTTCCCTCCTTTATTCTGTCTTGCTTCATCTCATTTTTTTTTTCTGTCCTTCTCTTTCCTCACATTTTTTACCCTCCTCTCTTTCCTTCTCTCTCCCTCCTCTCCTCTTTGCGTCTCATTCTGTTTCTTATTTTCTTTCCTCCCTTCTGCTCTGAACTGAGTTTCTTTTCTATGAACTGCTCTGGCCACATCACAGCTGCTCATTCCTATTCTCTCTTTCTCTCTCTCTCTCTCTCTCTCCTGCTCTGTCTCTAGGCTTCCAGTTCTTTCCACTTCTGTCTCTCGCTTCCATCCTCATTATCTCCCCTTCCTCCTTCTCTTCCACTCTGTCCCTTTCTCTCTACCTCTCGTTTTCTCTGAGCCTCTCTTCCCATCCCCTTTATTCTCCCTCCTCTTCCCCCCAATGTCCGCTCATTCTCAGACCAACTGCCCCAGCCTGGACTGGGTGGGACACTTTATCAGAAGCCTTGTTTCTTGGTCTTTTGAGGTGAGGAGGCACTTTCTGGAGTTGCCAGGAGAGAGCCGGCCCTGGAGACTCAGAAGAGGGCACAGAGGGGCCTGGACTGGCCCCTGGTGGTGTTCAAGGGGGCAACCGGTCATAGGCTCCCCACCCTCCCCCAACACACACACACGCACACACACACATGCACACACACGCATACACACACATGCATATGCATACATGCTGCAGACAGGCAGAGAACCTGAGAATGTGCCTGCAGAGTAGCAAGGCTCTTAAAAAAAATAATAGCAAAAGGGGAAAATGGGAATCGGTCTTCAGGGAAAAGTGAGAGAACTTGAACAATTTAAGTTTCTTTCCAGCTGCAGGGCAAGCAGGCTCCCAGCTCCCTCTGATCCAAAGACCTTTCATGTTTCAGCTCGCAGAGGCCCCTGGCATGGAGGGAGCCATGGCATGAGGAGAGCCCCCGACTCACCATGCCCCACACGTCCTTTCTCTCTCCCTCAGGCTCCAGAAGCAGGAGGTGCAGCTCCTGCTGGCTTCTCCCTGTGGCTCAGCCAGCTCCTCTCCTATCTGGGCTCCATCCTCCATCTTGTCCCTGCCTCCCCTGGTGCCCCAGGTCAGGTCCTCAGCTTGGGCCATGGGTGGTGGTCTCTCTACTCAGAGGGTAGGCGCTGGCCCCTGACCAGGTTCTGGTAGCAGCTGAGACTTCTCTCTGTGATCAAGCATATGGGAGAAAAGTTGGGGTCAGCCTCTCTGGTCACCACCTTGCTCCCACCTGCCTCCTTCTACTTCTTCCCATCCAGCTTTCTTCCACTTCCTGCATACCCTACGTTTCTTTGAGGCAAGAGAAAGAGGTCACTGACTGTCCCAACTGGAGGGGATGCTCCCCAAGGAATTCTCCCCCTCTCTGCTCCTCCTTTACGGTCATGTGGGGATACACGTGGCAAACATGAATGAGACTGAATACATTTCATTTTCAGCATATTGGTGTAGAGAGGATGAGTTCCAGGTCCCAGAGGAACCTGTCCCCACCATAAAATAGTGATGAAATGTGACTCTCCGAAAGGCTCTGGCTGTTCAGATAAGGCTGAGAGTAAGGCACACTCTGCAGAGTCAAGCCAGAGGCAGAGTTTTTGTTTAGTAGAGTTTCTCTATGAGGAGGCCTGGCTTGCAGAAGGTAGAGCCCTGACTTTTCAAACAACAGTCACATTGGAGTCCCTTAGTACAGACTCGAAGCCTTACAATTAACCTAGCAACTTCACTTCTCAAAGCGTATCTTAAAAAATTAACCAGAGCAAAGAATTAGCCATAGGGATGCCCACCACAGCATTGTTTATAGCGGTGACAAATTGTAACTAATCTAAATGTCCAACAGTAGGGGATTGCCTAAATAGTGTATCATCCAAATGATGTAAATGATGTAATATTATATAATATTATGCAACTATGAAAAATAGATTGTGGAAGAATAACTAACGATATGAAAAGATGTTTATGTTCTCATATTATTTGGAGAAACAGGCTGCAAAATGCCATGAGATATTTTTAGTGCAAATATATATTTATAATTGCATATGAAATCTAGGAATATAAATATCAAACTGCCAATTATTATTTCTGGATGAAGAAGAATTGGATGCAATTTTTGTTGCTGCTTTCCTGTGGTTTCTGATTTAAATGATTAGAGAAAGGCAAGCACACAGGTGACTTGCTTCTGGGGTTAAATGTGAGAGACTGAAAAGAGATGATATAGCAGACACGTAGCAAACAGGCTCTGAGATCAGGAGGACCCAGCTGCAAATCCCAGCCTTGATGCCAAATAACTGCAGGCCCTGACAAGTGGTCCCGCTTCTCTCAGCCTCAGTGTTTTCTTGTGAAAACGAGAATGATGCCAGTACTTAACTCACGAAGTCGCTGTGAGCATTCAGTGAGGTAGTCAGTGTAACCAATGTTAATCATTTCACATGGCACATAGAGGCTCACTCAATAAATATCAGTTATTATAGATTATAGTCAGTATACGTTTGCTGTGTACAATCAAGCACACCTACGTTTGCTACCCTGAGAGTTAATCTCATGCAGCGGGGATGTGACAGGGATTACAATTCAAAAACACAGGGAGAAATATTCAGTGTAGACACCGGTTCTACAGCCAGACTCTACATTTACAGATGATGATCAGAGAGGGCCCAGAGTCACACAAGTTCATGGCTGGGCCAGGACCCACTCTGCCCTACTTTGGCGTCTCCTGCTTTAGAGGCATTTTCTGAGGAATGCTCACCTGAGCCTCCCTAGCTGCACGTGGGCCCCAGTTCCTTTCCCCCAGTAGATCAGAGAAAGCCTGGCCTGTCTTAAGAGGCCTTATTCACAGGGAGCCTCTGGCACCCAGAGCCCAGTAGCTGGGGATCACAGCTTCCCTGCACTTGGTCACAAGGTTAAACCTTCAGGCCAGGGGTGTCCAAAGCATCCCCAGAGGACCCTTCATTCCAGATTTGTAGGAACACTGGCGCCAGCCCTTGGGGTAGACAACAGGAGCTAGCTGTTCCCACCCCCCAGTGAAGTTTGAGAGTTACGGTCCTACAGCCCCCTTGACCAACCTGGGGCCTCTGGGAAAAGAATCAAATGTCTCTAACAACTAGGGTCATTTTGTGAATGAAATTATTTTAAACTTTTTGAAATTTCTAGAAGTGAAAATTCAAACCTGAGAAGATGCACTCTGCCCAGCGTCAGGGAAATAATAATAGAATAATAAATAAAAAATAAGAGTTGGGCGTGTGAGGGCCTGAGCCTGCCTAGGGAACGCTTGGGCTGCAGTTTTCATACTACGGCCCAGAGGGAGGACTTCTTGGACACGAAAGACCATATATTCTGTATATTCTGAACCCCAAATTGGGACATTTGGGGACAAAGCAATAAACCATGAAACCCACAGGCCTGAGGACTGGATAAAACTGGGTTCAAATCCCAGCTTTGCTCTTCGATAGCCGTGTGATCTTGGCCAAGTTTCTTAATCTTACGAGGCCTTCATTTGTTTATCAATAAAGTGAGGATGAAACTAGAATCTGTCTCACATGGATTTGGAAGGAAAAAGTAATATATGTAAAACATGGAACCCAGGGGCTGCGAAAGCTGCAGATCAGGGGATGATGATGAGTGCAAGGGTACCTGAGGTCAGATATTGACACGGGAGAGGGCTCTGGGCAGGAGGCCTGGCATCATAGCCTCCTCCAAGCAAAGCTCAACCATTTGCTTTCCCCTCGGGAAAATCTTGCCATCTGGGAGCCATGGCCCCCGAGGATATGTCCCAGCAGTCAGCTGTGGCTATTGTTGGGCCCAGAAACCAATGCTGACTCAAGTCCTGCAGAAAGGGTAACTGTACACAGGCCCCCAGCCTGACTGTGATCAACCAGCACTGCCACTTCTGGCCTTGACTTTCAGGGGTGGAGAATCATACTCTTTTAGAAGTCGGATCTCAGTTCACCTGTCTGGTAGGAGGTGGTGTGCATTTTCACAAACATGAACTCATGTAGGGCCACAGTGCAGTAAGATTCAGTTTCCCTGTTGAACTCTGAGGAAGCAGGCACAAAGAGGGTGACCAGCCACCGAGATGAAGGAGGCAGGTGGGAGCCAGCCTGTCTGCCACTCCTCCTTGGCTGGAACTGGATCACACAGGCAGTGCCAGGAGCAAGGAGCTCCGGCCCTGGAACCAAACTTTCTGGGTCTCAATCCTGTCTCTACTCCTTAGGCACTGTTATACCTTAGACAGCAACCATTTGTTTTGGGCCTTAGTTTTCTTATCGGTAAAACCAACTACTTCCGGGTACTGCTCTGGGCACTTCCTGTCAGGCGGTACTGTACATATCGCACCTGCTCAATACATTTCGCTCTCATTAGGGACTCGGGAGTCCGAGGTGACGGGAGATGCTGGTGGTTCACCAGCTGGGGCTACAATATCCCCAGCTCTTGGACCCTATATACCTCCCCCAAATCCACATTTGATTAGAGGTTTCATTTATGGACTCTTTCCCCTCTCTCCACATAATACACAAATAGTTTCTAAGTTCCAGGATTCCCAGGAGCCTAGCACGGTACAAAGGTTTTTGAGGCGGGGAATCAGGGGATTAGGGACTAGTTGGCCTCTAGCTTAACTCTCTGCCCCAGGTTCCTAATCTGTAAAATGGGGATAAATTATTGCAGTACTACCTACTATCTATGATAGGGGTTCTCTGTGAGTGGCAATGAGCCCTCG